AGCAGAGGAGGGAAGGAAGGAAGGAAGGAAGGAAGGAAGGAAGGAAGGAAGGAAGGAAGGGGAGCGGGGGAAGGGAGGAAGGGAGGAATATGATTTTGATATGGAGGAAGAAGGAAGGAAGGAAAGAGAGGAGGGAGGGAGGGAGGAAGGAATATGATTTTGATAGGGAGGAGGGAGGGAGGGAGGAAGGAAGGGAGTGGGGAAGGGAGAATATGATTTTGATATGAGCAAGGAAGGAAGGAAAGAAAGGAGGGAGGGAGGAAGGGAGCAGAGGGAAGGAAGGAGGAAGGAAGGAAGAGGAGGGAGGGAGGGAGACTAAATTATTTTTCGGTAATGTTCATGTAAATTACAGTAATTTAAGTAAAGAATCTGGAAAACTAACTGATAGGATCCAAGGAATCCCCAAGATCCTACGGTATAATTTTCCATTCATAGCTACTATTTCAAATTCCTAATAAAAACTTAAAACCCCAATCTCATGCACTGTTCCGTGCTCTTCTACTTGTAGGTAGAAGAACCAACAGCTTGTTTTTTAATGAACTAAACAAGGAGAGGGCTAGTTATCATTTTTTTTTTACACCATCAAGGAAAAAAACTCAGGCACGTATCCCTAGCCATTCATTCTGGCTAAGGGCAAGAATTTATCGAGAACAGTTATTTCTCAACCTTTTGCACTTTAAGATGGGTGGATTTCATCCCCCAGAATTCCCCAGCCAGCATGTTGACATGGTTGAAAAACTCTGTTCTATGGTAGATAAATATTAAAGAAACATTGAGGATGAGGTAGGTCAGCCAGGAAAACAACGAAGGAGATACACAGCAAAGCACCTAGCAGGATTGTTCTGCTCATTTTCAAGTTACTCATTCCAAAGAGCAACCACACAAGTTGTTATCAGTCCACAACACACTCTAAAGCTTTAGCCTTTGTTGAACATTCTGATATGAGAGTTAGTTGGATCTATTGTTGAAGGCGCCAGACTAGAAACCAGGAGACTGTGAGTTCTAGTCCTGCTTTAGGTATGAAAGGTGGCTGGGTGACTTTGGGCCAATCACCAGGAGACTGTGAGTTCTAGTCCCGCCTTAGGCATGAAAGTCGGTTGAGTGACTTTGAGCCAGTCACCAAGAGACTCTGAGTTTTAGTCCCACCTTAGGCATGAAAGTCGGTTGAGTGACTTTGGGCCAATCACCAGCAGACTCTGAGTTCTAGTCCTGCCTTAGGCATGAAAGGCAGCTGGGTGACTTTGAGCCAATCAACAAGAGATTCTGATTCTAGTGCCGCTTTAGGAATGAAAGTTGGTTGAGTGACTTTGGGCCAATCACCAGGAGACTCTGAGTTCTAGTCCGCCTTTAGGCATGAAAGTTGGTTGAGTGACTTTGGGCCAATCACCAGCAGACTCTGAGTTCTAGTCCTGCCTTAGGCATGAAAGGCAGCTGGGTGACTTTGAGCCAATCAACAAGAGACTCTGAGTTCTAGTCCCGCCTTAGGCATGAAAACCAGCTGGGTGACTTTGAGCCAATCACCAAGAGACTCTGAGTTCTAGTCCCTCCTAAGGCATGAAAGTTAGTTGAGTGACTTTGGGCCAATCACCAGGAGATTCTGAGTTCTAGTCCCGCTTTAGACATGAAAGCTGATTGGGTGGCTTTGGGCCAGTCACACTCTCAACCCAACCTACTTCACAGGGTTATTGTGGGAAAAACAGAAGAAAGAAGGAGTATTAGGTATGTTTGCCACATTGAGTTATTTGTAGAAATAAAGTAATAAAGGTAAGATTTAAATAAATATAAATAAAGATGAAAGATGAAGAGCTCCAATAAGCAAGCCAAGCGTTTTTTGAGACAAACCAAGAATCCGGCTGCCCCTTTGGCAAACTTTCCTCCTTGGTAGTCCTTGGTGCTCTTTGAGCTTGGTTGTTTTCTCGCAGATGTTTCATTACGCAACTAGGTAACATTATCAGTATGAGGGAAGCACACACACATTTGCACTGATGATATTACTTAGCCGGGTAATGAAATATCTGCAGAATAATAACCAAGCTCAAACCAAGGACCCCACAATCATCTTTGTCATTGTCATCCTCATCCTCCTTTCTGCACCTCCACTTCCACTCCTCCTCCTCTTCTCCACAAACCAACTCCCCACTTCCTTCTAGCACTGATCATATTACTTAGTTGGGTAATGAAACGTCTGCAAGAAAACAGCCAAGCTCTGGGAGCACCAAGGACCTCACAGTTCAGTCCTGAGCTACAGAGAATTCTCTTCCAAAGGTTTAAGGTAGTGTTTTGTCCATTTATTTATTTATTTATTTATTAGATTTTTATACCACCCCCTCTCCCGAAGGACTCGGGGCAGTGAACAGCCAAAATTAAAAAACATACAATATAAACAATTAAAATACGTTTAAAACAGAATTAAATCTAAAATGGCTCCCCAATTTAAAACGCCTTACCCATACCCCTATAAATAAGATGAATTTAAAATTTAAAAATTTAAAATTTCCACATTTAAAAAGGGGGAAGATTTAGGCCAGGCCAGCTTGATAAAATAGAAAAGTCTTAAGCGCGCGGCGGAAGGTGCGCAGATCCGGGATCCTACGTATCTCCGGGGGGAGCTCGTTCCAAATCGTAGGTGCCCCCACAGAGAAGGCTCTCCCCCTAGGGGCCGACAGCCGACATTGTTTGGCCGACGGCACCCAGAGGAGCCCCTCTCTATGGGAGCGTACTGGCCGGTGGGAGGCTATTGGTGGTAGCAGGCGGTCCCGTAAATATCCAGGTCCTATGTGTTCCCATGAACACAGAACTCGCATTTGATCATTATTTCTACTTAAAGCCACATATGTCAGGCCTAGTTTAGCTGGTGGGGACTTTCCTGAAACTACTATATTTACAATATGCCAGTTTCGCTCTACGACCAGAAATAGACTGAATTCCACAAGCGACGAGTTCCACTTCCGTTGGCATAAATTGCATGCAGTAATCCTTAATTTAAGGCCATTGCTTGACTGCAAAGTAGGGATATCCAACCTTGGCAATTTTGAGACCTGTGGACTTCAACTCCCAGAATTCCCCTAGCCAGCCAGCAATTACCCACGCTGGCTAGGGAATTATGGGAGTTGAAGTCCACAGGTCTCAAAGTTGCCAAGGTTGGATGGACATCCCTGCTCTAAAAAAGATAATTCTCAGCGTTTCCTTATTAAATGTTAGGAGAGTGAAACTATTTTTTTTCCCCACTCCTCCCCTCCCGCCTTGTTTCTTTATTTCTCCCCTTTCTTGCTTTCCCTCAACTATGGACCAAGAAATAATCAAGGGATTGTGCGACCATGCATCCTTCGGGAGCAAACAAGGTTTCCTAGAACCAGGATTCAAATGATGGCGTCCCCCACTCTGAAGTTTGAACATGTAGGTAACTGCTGCATGGCCCTTCTACCGGCACATGGAGGGAGGTGGAGGGGAAAGAAAAGAAAAGTGGGGGATACCAATTGTGAAGGGGAGCATTTCTCTTTTGGCTGCTGAAGCCCACTCCTAAGGGGAGGAAGGGACCGGGAAAGGGCGAATAGGGAAGGGAGGGACGGGGAAGCCAGAAGCTGCTGGCAGGGATGGCAGAGCAGAAGAAGAGGCAGGGCAGGATGAGGGATGTTTGTAAGAAAGGGAAGTCCCCAGGGACACCTCTTGGTAGAGGAAGGATAAAAAGGCCAGGAAAGATGGGGAAAGGGGAGAAAAACTGGAACTTGGAAGTGGAATAGATGGAGATCTGCAAAAGGAGGCCACACCGGGAGGGAGAGAGGAAAGAAGGAAGAATGGAAAAGAAAAAGATGGGAGGGAGGGAGGAGGGAAAAGAGAGATGGGAAGAAGGAGAGGGAGGGAGAGAGGAAAGAAGGAAGAATGGAAAAGAAAAAGATGGAGGGAGGGAGGAGGGAAAAGAGAGATGGGAAGAAGGAGAGGGAGGGAGAGAGGAAAGAAGGAAGAATGGAAAAGAAAAAGATGGAGGGAGGGAGGAAGGAAGGAAGAGAGATGGGAAGAAGGAGAGGGAGGGAGGGAGGAAAGAAGGAAAGAAGGAAGAACGGAAAAGAGGAAGATGGGAGGGAGGGAGGAGGGAAAAGAGAGATGGGAAGAAGGAGAGGGAGGGTGGGAGGATGGGAGGGTGAAAGTGGGGAAGGAAAGATGGGAGGATGGAAGGAAGGAGGATGTGGGGAAGTGGGGCAGGAAGGAAGGAAGGAGAGAAAGGAGGGAAGATGAAAGGAAGGAAGGAAGGAAGGAAGGAAGGAAGGAAGGAAGGAAGGAAGGAAGGAGAGAAAGGAGGGAGGATGGAAGGAAGGAAGGAAAAGGAAGGAAGGAAGGAAGGAAGAGGAAGGAAGGAGAGAAAGGAGGGAAGATGAAAGGAAGGAAGGAAGGAAGGAAGGAAGGAAGGAAGGAAGGAGAGAAAGGAGGGAGGATGGAAGGAAGGAAGGAAAAGGAAGGAAGGAAGGAAGGAAGAATGGAAAAGAGAAAGATGGGAGGAAGGAGAGGGAGGGAGAGAGGAAAGAAGGAAGAATGGAAAAGAAAAAGATGGAGGGAGGGAGGAAGGAAGGAAGAGAGATGGGAAGAAGGAGAGGGAGGGAGGGAGGAAAGAAGGAAAGAAGGAAGAACGGAAAAGAGGAAGATGGGAGGGAGGGAGGAGGGAAAAGAGAGATGGGAAGAAGGAGAGGGAGGGTGGGAGGATGGGAGGGTGAAAGTGGGGAAGGAAGGATGGAAGGATGAAAGTGGGGAAGTGGGGAAGGAAGGAAGGAGAGAAAAGAGGGAAGATGGAAGGAGGGAGTATGTGGGGAAGTGGAGAAGGAAGGGATTCCCTGGAAAAGAAGCAGGAGTGCCAAGAGGAGGCGGCCGCAGAGGCGAAAGCGGCTCTCCCGGAGAGCGACTCCTGCGCGGGGCAGGTTGCGGGTGGCCGGCCAAGGGCTGGGCCGGGGCCGGGGCCGGTGCGACGGAGCCTCCCGTCCCTCCGTCCCTCCCGGGCTGCCTTGACTCACACGTAAGCGTGGTAGATGAACGCCCAGCCGCGGGGCCTTTCCAGCACGTTGTAGAGGAAATTCTGGAGCTTGCGGTAGAAAGCGTTCCTCTTGGGCGGCTTCCCGCTGACGGCCGAGCGGGGTTTGTTGAGGATGGAGCCCCGTTTGCCGCCGCCGCCCCCGCCGCCGCCGCCCCCCTCGGAGCCGGCGATGAGCAGGGCCCCGTCGCGGGAGGACTCGGGGGCGCCGGGGTCCAGCCCCACGAAGCCCACCTTCTTCTCGCCCGAGGTGCCCGGATACACGCCCCCGTTGCGCGACTTCTGCACCATCCTGCAGCGGCGGAGGCAGCGGCGGCGGCGGCGGCGCGCAGGCCTCTCCCGGGCTCAGAGCGGGCGCGAGCGAGGCAGCCGCGCCGGCCAGAGGCGCTGCCCGGGACCGGAGCGGGGCAGCGGCATGGCAGCGGCAGAGCCGGGCGGGACTGCGGCGGCCGCTGGGTGGCTTTGGCCAAAAGCAGCAGCAGCAGCAGCAAAGCGGAGGAGGCGAGGAGCGGCGCCCGCAATCTGCCCGACCTCCCCTCCGCTTGCTTTGCGCACAGCTCCTCCCGGGGCCCCCCGCGCCCGCCGCTTAACCCTTCCCGTGCCGTTCCGCTGAAGGTGTGGCGGAGAGAGAGGGGGGGGGGTTGGACGACGACGCGTGATCGGAGGAGGGAGGGGCAACCCCGGGGCTTGCAGGGCACCGACCCCCCACTCCTCGGGCGCCACGCAAGCAACACTACGAATTGGCAAAGCCTTTGGGATGGGGGTGGTTGGGGTGTGTTTGTGGTTTTATGTGGTTTTGTTTGACGGCGTCTCTGGGCATGTGCAGAGCGCCCGACTTTGACACGAGAAGGAAAGAAGTACCTCCTCCTCCTCCCACCCCCCACCCCCAGAGACCGAGATCTAGTTTTCTGCATCTTTGGGGCGGCAGTCCGGTTCCGATATTTTGGCAAATAGATTTGCGCAGGATTGCACAATTGAGATTAAAATCCTGGGGGGGGGATGGATGGATGGATGGATGGATGTTGGTAGGAAGGTAGGTAGGTACCGATAGGTAGGTAGGTAGATGAGAGAGAGAGAGAGAGAGAGAGAGAGAGAGAGAGATGAGAGAGGGGGTGGTGGAAAGATAGATAGATAGATAGATAGATAGATAGATAGATGGATGGATGGATAGATAGATGATAGATAGATAGATAGATAGATAGATAGATAGATAGATAGATAGATGATAGATGATAGATGATAGATGATAGATGATAGATGGATGGATGGATGGATGTTGGTAGGCAGGTAGGTAGGTACCGGTAGGTAGGTAGGTAGATGATAGATAGATAGATAGATAGATAGATAGATAGATAGATAGATAGATAGATAGATAATGATAGACGGACGGATAGATAGGCAGGCAGGCAGGCAAGGATAGAGATAAGATAGATGATAGAGAGGATGAGATGATAGCTAGATAGCTAGATACATACATAGATAGATATTAGATAAATGATTGATGATAGAGGGAGAAATGATAGAGATGAGAAGAATGATAGAGAGAGAGGATGAGATGATAGATAGATAGATAGATAGATAGATAAATAGATAGATGGATAGATGGATAGATGGATAGATGGATAGATGGATAGATAGATAGATAGATAGATAGATAGATAGATAGATAGATAGATAGATAGATAGATAGATAGATAGATAGATAGATAGATAGGCAGGCAGGCAGGCAGGCAGGCAGGCAGGCAGGCAGGCAGAGAAATCAGAGGTAGAGGTAGAGAGAGAGAGAGAGAGAAATGATAGGTAGATATAGAGAGATGGATGGAATGTTGGATAGACGGTGGATTGGTAGATGGATGGATGAGAGATAGAGAGCTAAGTAGAGCGCTAGAGAGAGGGAGGGAGAGACAGATAGATAGATACAGGACAATTATGGATCTTGGAGATTTTTATTTTAGCGAAATAAACCTAAATCTGGTTCATTGTAAATCCCATTTTGGATTGTTGAGTGGTTTAGTGTGGGTTGCGAACCCCGCTAGTGTGTGTGCTGAGACACCCTTCCCCCACCCCCCACCCCTTCTGGTTAAGAGGGGGCGGGGGAGGGTATCAGTCTCATGCGATACGTGAATCCAAACCAAGGGTTAATCCGGTAACTAGGTGACGCGTGATTCTCCCCAAAGCGAAGGTGCGGTTGGGCTGCAGATGGGCTGCCAATGGGAGGCTTTCACGGAAGCCACGGAATGAAAGGGGTGATGGCAGAATCAGGATCCCCCACGAATCAGAAGGAAGAGGGCTAACAAGAGAATCTCACAACTACACACGTGCGTCGCGGAAGCAGGAGGCGGTGACTGGTTAGCTCCGGAGAGAATTTTCCCACTGGCAGAAATTTGTGGGGGGGGTTTTGACTTGCGTGGGGTTTCCCCCAAACCTGTTTCCAGGTGGGCGGACTTCAAATCCCAGAATTCCACAGTCGGGAGGAGAATTCTGGGAGTGGAAGTCCACCTACCGGTACCTGGAAAATGCCCCGGCTGGGGAAACGCTGCTATCCAATCGAAACCCAGCCAAGCAATTACGGTGAAAACGTTTCCTGCCTCGGATGGAAAAAGCAAGAGGATGAAACAGGAGTTTTAAGGAGGAAGGCTTGGGGAAGTCGTAGTCCTCGTGATTCCTACATTAGAAGAATTTTATGCCAAGACTTGGGTTGGTTTTGTAGGACAGTCACATACACACACACGCACCCCAGTGCCTAAATTGGTCGGTGTGTCTATCATCTGTCTGTCTATCCAGAGACAGGTAGGTAGGCAATGGTAAGTAGATTGATAGAGATAGAGACAGGAATGGATGGATGGACGGATGGACAGACAGATCGACCCTATTAGAGAGATAGATGATAGATGAATAATGATAGGTAGATTAGGTAGGTAGGTAGGTAGGTAGGTAGATAGATGAATAATGATAGGTAGATTAGATAGATTAGATAGATGAATAATGATAGATAGATAGATAGATAGATAGATAGATAGATAGATGAATAATAATAGGTAGATTAAGAGATAGATAGATAGATAGATAGATAGATAGATAGATAGATAGATAGATGAATAGATGAATAGTGAAAGGTAGATGGATGGATGGATAATGATAGGTAGATTAGATAGGATAGATAGATAGATAGATAGATAGATAGATAGATAGATAGATAGATTAGATAGAATAGATGGATGGATGGATGGATGGTGGATGGATAGATAGATGAATAGTGAATAGTGATAGGTTGATTAGGTAGATAGGTAGATGGATAGATAGAAAGATGGGTGGTGTGGAGATGGATGGATAATGATAGGTAGATAGATAGATTAGATAGGATAGATAGATAGATAGATAGATAGATAGATAGATAGATAGATAGATAGATATAGATAGATAGATGATAGAATAGATGGATGGATGGATGGATGGATGGATAAGATAGATAGATAGATAGATAGATGAATAGTGATAGGTAGATTAGGTGGATAGATGGATAGGATGGATGGATGGATGGATGGATGGATGATGGATGGATGGATGGATAATGATAGGTAGATTAGATGGATGGATGGAGAGAGAGAGATGAATAATGATAGGTAGATTAGGTAGACAGACAGACAGATGCAAACAACTGGAGTGATAGAGGAGCCTTAGAATGAAGCAGTCAGTAGCATTCAAAACTGCTGCTTGCTGCATAGAATTGCATTTGGGAGATGTTTTTCTGGCTCTTTTTCCTATGCAGTTTCTGCTGGATTAGGTCCATTTTCAAATGTTTTTCTTTTTTTGCTTCTTATCTTCCTTTCTGAAAATGTTGTCCCTTGGCACTGCAAGGATCTGTTTATATGGCCTGTTGGGAGGTTTTATAAAACCTTAATAACACCACACCTGGAATACAGGCAGTCCTCAAACCCCAAATTTTTGTTGCTAAGCAACACATTTGTTCAGTGAATTTTGCCCCATTTTACGACCTCACTTTCTACAGTTGTTAAGTGAATCACTGCAGTTCTGAAGTTCGGTTGTTAAGTGAATCTGGCTTCCCCATTGACTTTGCTTGTCAGAAGGTCGCAAAAGGAGAGCAAGTGACCCCAGGACACGGCAGGCGTCATAAATACGAGTCCGTTGGCAAGGTTCTGGATTTTGATCATGTGATCTTGGGGATGCTATAATGGTTGTGAAGTGTAAAAAATGGCCATAAATCACTTTTTTTTTCGTTTAGTTTTTTTTTTTAGTTTAGTCTCTAAAGACCAATCAAGAACTTTTGTAAGTCGAAGTCTACCTGTTCGGCATTCTGATTTGGTCACCTTACAAAAAAGATGTTGAGACTTTGGAAAAAGTGCAGAGAAGAGCAACTAAGATGATGAAAGGCTTGGAGACTAAAACTTTTGAAGAACGGTTGCAGGATTTGGGTCTGGCTAATCTAGAGAAAAGAAGGACTGGGGTGAGGGGGACATGATAGCAGCATTCCACTATTTGAGAGGCTGCCACAAAGAGGAGGGTCTCAACTTATTTTCCAAAGTACCAGAAGGCAAGACAAGAAACAATGGATGGGAACTAATCAAGGAGAGAAGCAACCTGGAATTAAGGATGGAAGGAATTAACAGTGAGAACAATTAACCAGTAGAACAACTTGGCTCCAGAAGTTGTGGGTGCTTCATCATTGGAGGCTTTTAAGAAGAGACTGGACAGCCATTTGTCCAGAATGATATAGGTCAGGGGCAGGGGTGAAATGCTCCCGGTTTAGACCGGATCACCCGATCCGGTAGCGATGGAGGCGGGTGGTTTAGAGAACCGGTAGCAAAAATCCCAGCAACCCCCCACCCATGCCCAGCTGAGCCGCACAATCATCAGAGGCTTTTTTTTTACTTTTAAAAGCATTTTTTTCTACAACCTCTTCGGCCAAAAAATGCTTTTAAAAATATTTTTTTTTAAAAAAGCCTCTGATGATCACGCGACTCAGCTGGGATTGTCAAAGGCTTTTGAAAGCATTTTTTTTACAACCTCTTCACCGAAGAGGTTGTAGAAAAAATGGTTTTAAAAGTAAAAAAAAAAAATGGCCACACCCACCCAGTCACATTAGCCCACCACCACCAAGCCATGCCCACAGAACCGGTAGTAACAAATTTTAGATTTCACCACGGGTCAGGGTTCCTTACAGACGTTTCTTGATCCAACTAGGTAACATCATCAGTGTCATCTAGTCCAGGGGTCACCAACCTTTCAGGCATCAGGGACCACTAAATTCATAATTTTAAATCCCACGGACCACTAATATGATCCGCCTAAT